CTAGAATTGCATAGATAAGCCACTGACAGAAGCAAAGTTACTCATGGGACTTCTCAAAAACCTAAACTGCAGGTAAAATCCGTTATTGTGTGATTGACTTATGTAGGATGGGTGGCCCGATCCAGGATGAGGAAAGACTTGGGGCCAGCCACCCAACAAATTGAATGTGCCTCAGCCAACTTCTCACGGCTGTGGGTGTGAACGCTCTTCCCTTAGTAGTGCAGTGTGATGCATCTTTCGGTTACCTTTGCTTTTTTTCGTAAGCTGTACCAAAACCTCTTCATGTATTTACTCCCTTTTAGTACCTTTCCTTCTAGTAGAGGGATTCAGTATCCCAGACAACACACGCACATGCACACACATACACGATACTAAAGATCTTGTACAAATCAAACAAGTCGGCTAATAACAAATGTTCAAAGATCACGAGTAGGCAGTTCACAAAAGAAGTTGTAAAAATTGCCAATAAGTAGCCAAAAAGATGTTCAGCCAGTAGAAATGCACAAATGAGAGGCAGTATAGCATAGGAATTACAGGGTTTCTGGAGCTAGACTGGCTGGATTCCAGCCCTGGCTCTGCCATTACTAGCTGCATGACCTTCGATGAGTTATGTAACCTCTCTGTATTTCAGGTTTGTGTAAAATGGGGATAATAATAATAGGACTTAACCTCCCAAAAGGAGCCCCGGTGACACAGTGGTTAAGTGCTCAGCTGCTAACCAGCAGGTCCACAGTTTGAACGCACGGGAGAAGGATGTGGCAGCCTGCTTCCATAAAGATTACAGCCTTGGAAACCCCATGGGGCAGTTCTACTCTGTCCTATAGGATCACTATAAATCAGAATCGACTCAGTGGCAACGGGTTCACCACCCAAAATTGTTGCGAGAAATAACAAGGTTGATATTTGTAAAGCACTTAGGAGAGTTCCTGAAGTGTTAGCTGTTATGATGATGATGATGATGACGATGACAGTGGTGACTACAGTGACAACTGTATAGTTCTCCAAAGTGGTGGTATCAATTTACATTTCACCAGCTGTACGCGTAAATGAGACTTCCTTTTCCTCACATTCTTCAGATATTAGTAGACTTTAAAATGTTTGTTAAAATCATGGATAAAAAGGTTATCTGAGAAATAGAAAATTAAAAAAATCTTTTTTAAGGTATCTGAGGTTTTAATTTTCATTCTTCTCCTTGCTGGTGGAATTGAGCATCTTTTCATAAGTTACGGAATACTAGAGTCTCCTCTTTGTGAAGTGTTTGTTCATATCCTTAGCCCATTCTTCTGTCAGTCTTTTGTCTTTTTCTCTTTGATTTCTCATTCATTCAGAAAATATTTATTGAGAACTTTTTATATGTCAGACACTGCTTTAGGCAGTGGGAATACAATAGAAAACTCAGTCTTATAGATCTTATGTTCTAGTAAGAGGGAAAGGAACAAATAAATAATACAGTCATAATAGCTAACATTTGCTGAGTGATTTCTGTGTACCAGGTACTACACTAAATTCTTATTTTATTCTCACATTTTTCTAATATTCTTAATTAAAAATGTCATCCTTTTCCAGATACGGAAACTGAAGCACAGAGAGGTTAAGTAATATACTAAGTTACACAGCTAGGAAGTAGTGGAGCCAGGGTTCAAACCCAGGTAGTCATATTCCAGCTAAAGCCTATAATCCTGGCCAGGGTATTATGTTGCCTCTCTGTACTATACTGGAGATAAAATGTGAAAGGGAAAAGAGCTTTTTATGTATTCTGGCTACTAGTATTTCATCGTGTATGTTACAAGTAAACCACTTGCAGTGACGTGAGTTTCGACTTACAGCCACCCTATGTGTGTCAGAGTAGAACTGTGCTCCATAGGGTTTTCAATGGCTGATGTTTTGGCAGTAGATCACCAGGCCTTTCTTTGAAGGTGTCTCTGGGTGGACTTGAACCACCAACCTTTTGGTTAGCCGCTGAGCGCATTAACTGTTTGTACTGCCTTGTGGTTCCTGTGTTACAAATATCTCCCCCCTTTTTTTATTTAAAAATTTTGTTTATAAACACTCTGCCATGAAATATTTAACTTTGATGTAGTCAAAGTTATCCCATTTTATCTTACGGTTTGCACTTTTGGGTCCTAATTTTAAGAGATTCTTCCTTCACTGACACTATGAAGTTGTTGTCTTACTCTTTGTTATTCATTCAACAGATATTTACTTGAGCATCTACTATATGCCAGAGACTGTACTAGGCACTGCACACATGTGAATTAAACAGACGAGAATCACTGTGTTCTCAGGTTTAAGGTTTTGTTTTCCAAGATTGGGTCCTGAGTTCATCTGGAATTTGTTTTTGTATATTAAGGGAGGTGGTAAACTAAGTTATTTTTCTTTCTATAAGAAGTAGCTTTTCTGATAACAATTTATTAAAAAGTTCATTCTTTCAGCACTGATTTATGATAACATCTTTAACATATATCAAGTTCCTATGTATCATGGGTTGTGACTGGTCTGTTCCATTGATCTTGTCTATTCTTGAGCTCCATGTGTATTTTAATAATGCTTTAGTAGTTACAGAGGTATTGTGGTTATTATAGACAGCTTAGAAAATTCATGAATATACAAAGAAGAAGATTAAAATCACTTATAACCCCAGCATTTCCTATGTAGGAAATTGGAAATCGAAGGGAAAATATTTGTAATGTAATTACATTATCAAACTACTAATGTTTCTTTGGTTTCACTGTGGGGGAGAGTTAAGTGGTCTCTCTGGTGATATCCTATAAAATCTAAAATTTTTTTTTATCTTTGGAATTTACATATCATATGTTGAGTGCCTTTGATGTTTCTCTTACTTAATGTGTTAATTTAAGTTGCTATTACAACTAGACCCTAACTTGTAATGATTGAACACAATGGAAGTGTCCTTCCTGTTCTATAACAGTCGTGAGCAGGTGTTCAGATGGATGGCTAGAGGACTGTCCTTCATTCTGTCAGTCAGACAGTAGACTTCTCCGTCTGGTGGCTTTGCCGTCTGCTGTGTCTCATCCTAAGTCTGTATCCAGTACGCACCACCAGCAGTATATTAGCATTTTGCTTCCTCCACATTCTTACCAACACTTGTTATTATGTCTTTTTGATGATAGCCATCCTGGTGGGTGTAAAGTGGTGTAATTGTCCGTTCTTATTCCCAAATTCTAGTCTCCTTAAGGCTTCTGGGAAATGGAAAAGTAGCTCTTCCTCATTCAAGGGTTGGGGAGTTCTGCCTCTCGCCACTCTATAAGTGCTATCAGATAGGTCTGGGAGTGAGAGCATGGAGAAGCACACACAGAAGGATGTGTGACCAGCCTGGAAGTGGCATTCAACACTTCCACTCACATTCCATTTTCTAGAACTCAGGCCCCACCTCACTGCAAGGGAGCTGGGAAGTGTAGTCTACCTGTGAGTCTGAAGAAAGGGAGAGTGGATGTTTGTTGACAGCTAGCAGTCTCTGCCTCCATTGTTTTTCCCAGAGTCACTGTAAAATGTTTACATGATTCTGTTACACTAGATATTCTGTTAAGTCCCATCTGTAAATTCCATGAGTGCTTCTTGCAAGAGATTTTTTGAATGTGCTTATTAAATATTTGATATTTCCATGGCTGAGAAGGGGTTGATTGATTTACACCTGAGATTTGCCAACAATTCTCTTTAGTCACAGACTGAAGTATCTGTACTTTCCGAGGCAGCAAAATTGAGATCTTTTTGAATCTTCACAAAACAAAGTTGTGAATCTATCTTATGAAACCTTGGGGAAGAGGGACACAGAACTTCTGTTCTTAAAGACTCAAGGGAGCTTTATAAAAGGGCTACATGATTTCCTTGGCTAAATTTCTGTGATTCAGTGATCAGCTTCAGGTACTGAGTTGTCAGAATCAGTTTTTCTCCACTGGTTTTTCAAGAGCAGTCTTGAGCATAGGTTTCCTTCACTATCCTGAAGTCTTATCTGACATCTCTCCAACCCAGGTGATGTGACATCTCTTTTTGTTACACAAGTCTTCCCTCAGACTACCTGGATTCCTGCAGGTAGCAGACCATATAGCTAGGCAGCAGTCGCCACCTTCTGGTCTACGCAGGTCTTAACAACATCTTATCATCCCCCACCCCACCCCCACGCCCCCGCCCTGGGGCAGGGATTTCACCTGTTGGTTGTTTAATAACTTTAGTGAGACAGAGTTCACACACCATACAGTGTACTTCTTTAAAATGTACAATTTAGAGGCTTTTATTATATTCACAAAGTTGTACAAAATCACCACAATCAATTTTAGAATATTATCACCCGAAAAACAAACCCATATTCCTTTGTTGTCACTCCCTCAAGCCTTCTATTCCCACACTTCCTAACAACCACTAATCAACTTTCTTCTGCCTTTATAGATCTTCCTATTCTGGACATTTTATATAAATGGAGTCACAGTATGTGTTTTTTTGTGGTTGGCTTCTTTCACTAAGCATAATGTTTTCAAGGTTCATCCATGTAGTAGCATGTGTCAGTATTTCATTACTTTTTATTGCTGCATGATATTCCATTGTAGGTATAAGCCACATTTTATTTATCCACTCATCAGTTGATAGACTGATGTGTGGCCAACCTGGAAGTGGCATATATCACTTCCATTCATGTTCTATTGTCTAGAACTCAGGCCCCACCTCACTGCCTTAGCTGGGTTGTTTCTACTTTTGTATTATAAATAGCTGCTATGAACATTCATGTACAAGTTTTTGTGTGGACATACATTTTTATTTCTGTTGGGTATGTACCTAGGAGTAGAATTGCTGGAACATATGGTGACTTTATGTTTAGCCTTTTGAGGAACTGTCAGACTGTTTTCTAAAACAGCTGTGCCATTTTACTTCCCACCAGCCGCATATGAGGGTTCCAGTTTTTCCACATCCTCGCCAACACTTGTTATTATTTGTTGTTTTTATTCTAGCCATCCTAGTAGTTATGAAGTGGTGCAGTTGTCAGTTCTTACTCCCAAATTCCAGTCTCCTTAAGGCTTCTGGGAAATGAAACAGTAGCTCTTCGTCATTCAAGAGTTGGGGAGCTCTGCCTCTAAGTACTATATAAATGTCGTTGCTGTGTGCCTTCCAGTCGATTCCAACTCATAGCAAGTTGGATTATATAAATACTATCAGATATGTCTGGGGGTTTGGAGGATAGGTTGACTAATTTAGCCCCATTTTCTGTAGCTCCCTGTCAGTGTAGAAATTTGGAAAAGGCAGTTTTTCACCTGGGGTCTCTTATGCAGTTGCAGCTGATGTTGTGTTGGTCTATAGTCATATGAAGATGGGACAGAGCTGATTGACCAGGATGGCTCTCTCACTGCCAGCAGTTGATACTGGCTATTGGTTGGAAGTCAGCTACACTGTCTGCTGGAGTGTCTACTGGAGTGTTTCAGGGCAGTCTGACCACTTGTATGGCTCCTGGCTTCTCCTAGAGTGAGCATCCCAGGTCAACCAGAAAACTACAGGGCCTTTTTTGATCTAGCCTTGAAAGTCACATAGTGTCACTTCCACAGGGTTACAAGCAAGTCACAAGCCTACCCAGATGCAAGGGGAAAGGACATAGGCCCCACCTTGTGATGGATGTAGTATCACAGAATGTATGGACATGTTTTAAAAGTGTTTATACCTGTAACAGTGCCTGGTAAAAAATGGATGTCACCATGTGTTTGTTGGATGAACAAATGCGTATTCAGTAAGTATGCATGTCAGTCTCGCTTATTATATCTGCTTGTTTTTGCACAGTACAATCTAAACTCTTTAATAACATAGGGGCTTCATTATATTTACAGTGTATTTTTGAAAAGTAGGGGCATATTACTTTGCATTGTACACATTTTAATCCACACGGATTAGAAGGCTGCTTTTTTTTTTTTTTAAGCCATAAAAATAAGAGGGTAATTTTGTAATAGAGAAGGCCTTTCTCAATAAGATTTAAAAGCCAAAATGCCACAAAGGAAAACTCTCAAATATTAGACTACATAAAAGTTCTAAACTTCTGTACGGGAAAAGATACCATCAGCAAAATGAAAGCTAAAAAAATAAACTGGAGATAAAGTATTTGCGATATAAATAATAGATCACAAAATAGGCAGCACTTTGGTGATGTGGTTAAGAGCATGGGCTCTGGATGTCGCATTTCATATCCCAGCCCCACTATTTGCTAACTTGGTGACCCAGGGCTTCAGTTTTCTTTCAATGTGTAATGTAAGGATAAAGTACATCCATCTCCTAGGGCTGTTGCAAGGACTAAAGGAGATTAAGTATGCAAAGTAAATACTTAATAATAGCTGCTATCCATACTTTTATAAGACCTGACCTGTTGCCATTGAGTTAATTCTGACTCATAGTGACCCCATAGAACAGAGCAGAACTGCACCATAGGATTTCCAAGGAGCGGCTGGTGGATTCGAACTTTCAGCCTTTTGGTTAGCAGCCATGCTGTTAACCACTGTGCCACCAGGGCTCCAAGAGCACCTACAAATCAATTTTTTTTAAATGGCTTTTAGAAAAAGGATATGAATGAGCAATTCACAGAAAAAAAAAGTCCAATAAACATATGAAAAGATGTGTAACCTCCTGATTAAAGAAATGAAAATGAAATCTACAGTGAAATTTTATTTATTTACAATGAGATTTATTTTCCACCTACCAGACTGTCAAGGATGAAAAAGAATGATATATCAGTGCTGGCAAAGATGTAGGGAAACTGGCACTCTGATTTACTGGTAGTGGGAGTGGCAACGTATTTAGGAAAGCAGTTTGCATGCTTTATTAAAACTAAAAATGCACATGCCCTTTGACCTAGTTTTCACCTTTGGACAGACTTTGGGCAAAGCATGAATGCACAAAAATGTAGGTACTAGAATGTATTTTTTCTTTTTTTATTGTGCGTTAGGTGGAAGTTTATAGAGCAAATTAGATTCCCCTTCAATAGTTTGTACATAGAGTGTTTCATGGCCCTTGACTTTATTCCCTGCAGTGTGTCACCACTCTCCTCATTTCTGCCCTGGGTTCCCCATTTCCTTTCATTCTGATTTCTACCCCTTCCTGACTTCTTATCTTTGCTTTTGCAAATACTGCCCTTTTGATCTTGTATAGTTGATTGTTCTAAGGAGCATGTTCCTCGGGGTTGTTGTTTATTTTATGGGCCTGTCTATTGTTTGGCTGGAGGTGGACTCTGGGAATGGTTTCAGTTCAGGTCAGAAAGGTGTCTTAGGGCCATAGTCTTGGGGGTTCCTCCAGTCTGTGTAGTAAGTGGTCTTTTTTGTGAATTTGATTTTTTGTTCTCCATTTTTCTCCCTCTCTGTCTGGGACCCTCTGTTGTGGGACCCTCTGTTGTGATCCCAGTCTGAGTGGTCAGTAATGGTACCTGGGCACCATCTAGTTCTTCTGGTCTTGGGGTCATGTAGGCTGTGTGGTTCATGTGGTCCATTAGTCCTTTGGACTAATTGCTCCCTTGAGTCTGGAAGAGACCATTAGTTGTATCCTAGATGACTGCTCATAAGCTTTTAAGACCCCAGATGCTACTCACCAGAGTAGGATGCAGAACATTGTCTTTATGAACTATCTTGTGCCAGTTGACGTAGATGTCCCCTGAGTCTACGGTCCTTTGTCTTTGAGCCTAGGAACTTCATCCTGTGAGGTGCTTGATTATGTCTAAGAGGTTTCCCTGACTGTGCCCCTTGTGTGCTCTGTTATCTATATTAATATATGAGGAACACCTACAGTCATGTACGTAGAAGTACCCACCACCATACCTGTATCTGCCGATGAGCGTGCTCCCTTACGCCCTCCCACACCTCTTGGCTTATCTATCTACCTGTGTATCCATTTGTAAATTACTGTTTGTTAATACTATTGTTGCAGGATTGTCAATGCTATAGTAGTTACCATAGTTGCGCTTTATTCTTGTGCTCCTCTCAGTGTCCTCTCTTGCATTGGTCAAGTTGTGCTGACTTCTCCCATATTGTGTATTGCCTTTCCCTTCACCAGTATTAACACATGTCTACTATTTGGTAAATTTCCCTCCCTCTCCTTCCCATCCCTAGTAACCATCAAAGAATTGTTTTTTTTTTCTGTGTAAACCTTTTGTTGTTACTTTATAATAGTGATCTCATACAATATTTGTCCTTTTGTGATTGATTTATTTCACTGAAAACAATGCCCTCCAAATTCATCCATGTTTCATGGATTTGTCATTGTTCTTTATTGTGTCACATTCCATTGTGTATATGTACCACAGTTTGTTAATCTATTCATCTGTCAGTGGGCACTTAGATTGTTTCCACCTTTTTGCTATTGTGAATAATGCTGCAGTGAACATGGGTATGCATATGTCTATTCTTGTGACGGCTTTAGGGTATATACCTAGGAGTAGGATTGCTGGATCATATGGTATTTCTATTTCTAGCTTTTTAAGGAGGCATCATATCATTTTCCAGAGTGATTGTACCATTTTCCATTCCCACCAGCAGTGTGTGAGAGTTCCAGTTTCCCCACAACCTTGCCAACATTTGTTATTTTCTGTTTTTTTGATTAGTGCCAGTAATATCAGAGTGAGATGGTATCTTATTGTAGTTTTGATTTGCATCTCTCTAATTGCTAATAATCATGAGCATTTCTTCATATGTTTGTTAGCAGCCTGAATGTCTTCTTTGGTGAAATATCTGTTCATATCCTTTGCCCATTTTTTAATTGGATTGTCTTTTTTTTTTTTTTTTAAGGTGTTGAAGTTTTCTATGAATTTTAGAGTTTACACCCTTGTTGGATATGTTATAGCCAATTTTTTTCCCCAGTCTGTAGGTTCTCTTTTTACTCTTTTGGAGAAGTCTTTTGTTGAGCATAAATGTTTAATTTTTAGCAGGTCCCATTTATCTAGTTCGTCTTATGCTATGTGTGCATTTTTAGCTATGTTTGGTATTCTATTTAAGCCATATATTAGAGTGCCTAGGATTGTCCCTGTTTTTTCCTTCCTGGTCTTTATAGTTTAAGGTTTTATATTTAGGTCTTTGATCCATTTCGTGTCAGTTTTTGTGTTGGTGTGAGTGAGGTATGGGTCCTGTTTCATTTTTTTTACAAATAGATATCTAGTTTTGCCAGCACCATTTGTTGAAGAGACTGTCTCTTTCCCATTTAATAGACTTAGGTCTTTTGTCAAAAATAAGCTGTCCATGGGTGGATGGATTTATGTTTGGGTTCTAGATTCTGTTCCATTGGTCTGTGTGTCTGTCGTACCAGACTGTCGTGGCTATATAGTAGGTTCTGAGATCAGGTGGTATGAGGCCTCTTGCTTTGTTCTTCTTTAATAATGTTTTACTCATTCAGGGCCTCCTTCCCTTCTTTATAAAGTTAGTGATTAGTTTTTCCATGTCGTTGAAGAATGCTGTTGGGATTTGAACCGAGATTGCATTTTATCTGTATATCGCTTTGGGTAATATTGACATTTTCACAATGTTAAGTCTTCCTATCCAAGAGCATGGTATGTTTTTCCATTTATGTAGGTCTGTTGGTTTCTTGCAGTAGTGTTTTATGGTTTTCTTTGTATAAGTCTCTTACGTCCCTGGTTAGATTTATTTCTAAGTATTTCATCCTTTGGGGGGGCTATTATAAATGGTATTGTTTTTCTGATTTCCTTTTCAGAGTTCTCTATGTTGATGTAAAAGAATCTAACTGCTTTTTGTAGGTTGATCTTGTATCCTGCCACTTTGCTGAATTCTTCTGTTAGTTCTAGTAGCTTTGTTGTGGAATCTTTGGGATTTTCTATGTACAAGATCATATCATCTGCGAATAGGGATAGTTTTACTTCTTCCTTACCAATTTGGATGCCCTTTGTTTCCTTTTCTTACTTTATTGCTCTCGCTAGGACTTCCAATACAGTGTTGAATAAGAATGGTGATATAGGGCATTTTTGTCTGGTTCCCGTTCTCAAAGGGAATGCTTTTAGACTCTCTGTTGAAGATAATGTTGGCTGTTGGTTTTGTATAAATTCCCTTTATTGTGTTGAGGAATTTCCCTTCAATTCCTATTTTGCTGAGAGTTTTTATCAGGAATGTGTGTTGAACTTTATCAAATGCCTTTTCTGTGTTCATTGAGATGATCATGTAATTCTTTTCCTTTGCTTTATTTATGTGGTGGGTTATGTTGATTGATTTTGTAATGTTGAACCATCCTTGCATGGCTAGTATGAATCCCACTTGTATTATTTTTTTGATATGCTGTTGAATTCTATTGGTTAGGATTTTGTTGAGAATGTTTACATCTATATTCATGAGGAATATTCGTCTGTAGTTTTCTTTTTTAGTGATGTTTTTGCCTGGCTTTGATACAGGGTTATGCTGGCTTCATAGAATGAATTTGGAAGTATTCCTGCCTTTTCTGTATTCTGGAATGGTATGAATACAATTGGTGTTAACTCTTCTCTGAATGTTGGGAATAATTCTTCAGTGAAGCCATCTGGGCTGGGTCTTTTTGTTGTTGGGAGTTTTAATGACCCCCTCAATTTCTTCTGTTGTTATCAATCTGTTCAAATTTTCTACCTCAGTTTGTGTTAGTTAAGGTAGGTAGTGTGTTTCTATAAATTTGTCCGTTTCCTCTAGGTTTTCAAATTTGTTGGAGTACAGTTTTTCATAGTATTCTTTAAGGGTCCTTTTTTATTTCAGTTGGTTCTGTTAAGTCACCCATCTTATTTCTTAT